CCCCCCCCCCCCCCCCCCCACCCTTTAGGTAAACCACTGAACCTACTGGTGTATTATTAAAAGTTGTTGGTGAACATGTAACAAATATACTCAAGTGCTCAAATACTGTGTATTTAAAACTTTGAAGGATAAGGTGATGGGTTTGAAGTCCATTTCTGTAGTTGTCTTGTGTTCGTGAATTATGTGTTTTTGGTTGTTTTCATTTTTCATTTGTTATCATTAATTAGCAGGCTTCTATCTTTATCTCAATAGTTTCTTGGGTATAATTATTTATGCCAGGTCTGCATATTGGTGATTTCACATTCAGTTACACATTTCAGCAAATTTATTTCACTGTATAATTAGTGTAAATTCACATTTTATTCATGCTATAATTGAGTAAAACTTTGGTCCTTCCGTTACGTCCTTCCGCTACCAAATTATAATCCACTTAAGACATTGTAATTATATCACCGAAACACTTAAAGTCAAATGAAAGGTGGTATAGTATAGATAAAGCCGCAGGGATTCCATTTCCTACCTTTGAAATATAATTGCCCCATAAAATTCACAGAGTTTATGCAAAACGCGTGTAAGTTGGAAAACCCTCGTCCGTTTTACCGTCCTTCCGTTACCGACCTCATTAATATTCATAATTCATTAACGAGAGGTATGCATGCCCCCCAAAAGTGTGGAAATTGAAGGTAGCATTATAGCAATACCATTGTGACATTTGCTTGCTGTAACTAATAACAGTGGCTGTGATAGGCACATGTGAAATTTTGTTTAATGAGCGAAAACGTCCTTCCGTTACCGTGGAATTGCCCAAAAGCAGTAAAAAATTCTGAGCTCCATAGTTTGTGCACAAAAAATGGACGCACCCAGCAGTGTACATTCTGTACAGTAAGTTAAGTCTCTAGTCATTTTAAGCTACAGTCCATCATTTGCAGCTATCCAAAAAGTAACTGATGTAATTATCGTTGAAAAAAACATACTTGGTTGGTTGACAGTACTAAATTCTCTCTGAAATTATTCTTCTGACATGCTGTCGTTTTGAAGAAATCAACAAAAGAAGGTCTTCAGACGCATCGTTGGAAATTTCTGTTAGTAGTTCGCTTTTTTATTTGGCGAAGCACGCACAAGCGTTGACACGATGCAAACGTGCGCGCAGTTGCCTTAATTCATCGTATCAGTGCATGACACCGCGTAGCTGCAATCGGCTCAATGAGAATGTGTCTCAATTCAGGCCCAATTCAAAACATGATTCAGCAACATGTTTCAGCAACTTTTGATTGAAATCGAGATCCGCAGGCCCGGTTCTGTGTTTTTTTGTCCCGTTCTGTTCACAAACTCATCTATGTTTCAAGTCACAGACCATACAGGGATGAAACTGGCCTATGGGGAAAAAATCTGAAAATAGGCCGGCCAAAATTCGTGTCCGAAATCTGGGCTGCGCCGCAAGTACACATACGTACTATATGTACAATAAACTTCGTGTTCAATTTCTGGACATCGCCTCCTTTTTTCTTTTACATGTACATGTAGATCCAAATGAAATTTTACGATGTGAAAATGTTCAGTGTTTCCATAAGATTAAAAAGCCCGAATTAGGGTTGGAGTTTCTGACTCGTAATTAAAGAAATTCACATCTTACTTGAGACACGGAGAAAGTCAGGAAAAAGTCCAAGACAACAAGTCACTAAACGCATGGTAGGTGGAACTGGAAAAAGTTTGGCATTAGGCCTGCCGTCTTTTTCGTACAACAACTGCCGGTGAAATTTGTCTTCTATGCTCTCCTCGCCTTCCTCAAGATTTTGCATGGAAGAGATCGTCAGACTAAAACCACCACGTTGCAATCATTCAGTATCATTTGTACAACACTGAATAAAGTAGATCTGCCAAAGTCCAAAATGCTCCTTATGTGCGATTACCCCAATAGTTTGATTGCAGCTTTTGAGGGGGCCATTCAGTTGTGACTTTGTAACAAGATTCTTTTGTTTTGCTAACTTTTGAAAAAAAAAATGATTTCTGAATGGAAAAGTTAGTTCTTTTTTTAAAGCAATTCAAACGAATTTGCTTGAAAATGATCATTATTGTATTGTATTTAACTTGAAATGATTTCTTTGTGCAGGAAGCTTCTCTATAATGCCCACCTCAAATTCCAAGTTCTGTGTTTGTCTCTCTTCCAGTGCATGATCTGAGATGACTAAGACGTCATCTTTGGAGACATCTAGTTGTTCCTTACATCGATCCAGCTCCTGTAGTAGACGGTCCTTCTCTGCCATCCAGACTCGCTCCTGAGATCGTCCTTCATACTTCAGCTCTAGATAGTCCTTAGTGCTGTCATACAACATCTGCTGTGTACGATGTAACCTATTAACAGAAGAATGTCCATGACAAGTGATGTATGATGGTTGAACAAGGTAGCTGAATAAAGGATACACATTCTACTTTTGTTAAAGAACGGTAAGTGTCTTATTAGTCATTCATAAGATTTCATTTCATTTTGCGTCGGGGTGATGTAAATCAAATTAGGTTTTGCCCTTCACCGACATATAAACACTGTATACTCTCTGTGTTACCTCCCGAGTGAAAGTTGAAAAAAATCACTCCGGTCAAACCCATGACCCTCCTGCTTTCTAGTGCAGATGTCTTACCACTTGACCACCGAGCTAACGGGATCAGTTGGCTGGTTCGAATCTGATGTACATAGCAGCGGGTACTACATTAACTATTCATAAGATGGTAAGACATCTGCAATAGAAAGCAGGAGGTCGTGGGTTCGAGTCCCACCGGAGTGATTTTTTTCCAACTTTCACTCGGGAGGAAACACACTGAGAATACAGTGTTTATACATCGGTGATGGACAAAACCTAATTTGGTTTTATTAGTCAATTGACTCATGTAATTTCAGCAAGCACACACTGCATATGCCTCCATGTTATTTTGGCAAGATGTGTTGCCAATATACTAGTGTGGAAAGACTGTGGTTTCTAAAATAACTAAGATCAAAGTGCTTTACATTATTATTACCCTGATCATTGGGCCAATGAAACATTGCAAATACAATCTCAGCTTCCTGTGGAATATGGATTTTTATTCACGAGGAAGTCATTTTAGTCATGTTCCCTGACAGTATTTTATAAACTATTGAATAGGATGGTGCCAGACTATTTTTGCATTCTAGCCTCACTTTCAATTTTTATTTTAAATGTGGCTTAAAAACATTAGGGTATGTTTAACAACAAATTTAAATTTTCATTAAAGCAGACTGGTATTAATTTGTAATTAATTTTATGTCACTGCTTTAATTTCTCTTTGCAAGTTCCAAATATGAAGATTTTACCTCGCTTTCAATTTAATATAGTCGACTCCTGAATAAAGCCCATACAGCTCGGTGTAGTCATTTCGACGCAAGGTAGCTAAAATCAATCACAATTGCGATCTCTGTTCTCACAGGTACCCATTTACTCCTGGGTGGGGCGAAGCAATGAGTGACAAAGTGTCTTGCCAAAGGGAACATGCACCATAACCCCAGGCTGGACTCGAACCCACAACCTGTAGAATTACCCACAGACAACGAGTTAATGCTCCAGACCATGAGGCCAGGGCACTCCACATATTTAGAAATGTTTTGCCAATTCATGCAACAACACAAACACCAGGTAATATAATCTATTTGAAACCCCTGCCCGTTGTCCAAACTGCACACATGTGCATTTATCTTTATTGGTACCTTCAAGGATGTAACTGGGGTCCAAGTTGCTGGAGGGCCCTAAAGGGACCTCAGTTTCTAGTAGGAGGCAGTCTTTGAGCAGAGGGGTCCATGCCCCTCATCCTCCTCCCCTATCATTAGCTATGCCACTGGGCACCTTTGTCAAGTTCATTTAAGATTATAAGGAATCAATGAAGGGAGTTCCTACTTTTCATTGAGGGAGTGAATCTTGGAGCGATCTCTCTCAATCACAGTCTGCATCTCTTCCATCCTGACCCTACGATCCTCCAGCAAGGCTTCCGTCGCTCTCTAGATAGCTCAGCTTGTTCCTTCATCTGAGATTGTAGAGCTTCAATCTGTAGCAACAGACTCTCTGGCTCTGCCTGCTGCTGGTCTGAATCAGGATGGACAGCTTTGGGCTGGGCGCTGTTGGACTGAAATGAGGATTGGAAAATATTGATGGATGGTAACAGGATCAACCTGCTGGTACAGACTCGGACAAAAGAAACCACCATTTTGGAGATGATCTGATCAATTATCGTGATTGAAGCAACTTTACTGGGATAACGTATGTAACTAATCTTGGAAAGTTCATGGTATGATGAGGCGGCTTTTTGCCAAACTCACTCTCAGGGGAGTAACTACAGGTAATTTCATCAGCTGATCAAGGAATTATCAACACACCTACCAAAAGCTGCAACAGATATATATATTTACTATTAATACTATGAAAGTAAGTAAAGTCTGTCATTAGCCAATACATCTCCGGTTTCAAAGGCATGAAACGACCGAGGATATTTTTTTATCCCCCCTGGATAGGATGCCAGTCCATTGCAGGTTACTTCCCAGCTAATATCGGTACCCATTTATACTCCTGGGTGGAGAGAGGCAAGTGGGGGTGAAGTGGCTTGCCCAAGGACACACATATAACCGGCAACTAGATTCGGACCCCTGACCCTCTGATCATGAGTCACAAACCTTAACCATATTAATGCTTAAAAAAACTTAAAATCCCATAGACCTTATAAATAGTTAATGCGATGCCCGCTGCCATGTACCAATACATCAGATTCGAGCCAGCCAACCGATCCCATTAGCTCAGTGGTCAAGTGGTAAAACATCTGCACTAGAAAGCAGGAGGTTGTGGGTTCGAGTCCCAACCGAGTGATTTTTTCCAACTTTTACTCAGGAGGTAACACACTGAGTATTCAGTGTTTATACATCAATGAAGGGCAAAACCTGATTTGACATACATTGTATTAATACTATGATCCACTAGTTTATCTGACCAACAAATACTAAAAATGGGCCTGATATGGTTGGTATGAGATCTGAGGAGTGTTGGCTTTGCAATGTTTTATCAACCACCCTTTGCCTCAACCATACCGGTATGTAATCTCTACCTACCTTTTGTGTTAGCAGTAACTCTGTGTTGTGCATTCCTCCGTGTTCTGTTGTTCTGTGGTCTGCTTGGCACTTCGGCTTTTAAACCCAATATTTCACCCTCTGGAGAAAAAAAAACCAGACAGGCAAGTAAGAAGAAAACATGAGACGTCTTGGAAATTACAGGTTACACCTTCATATACCTTTGAAATCTGATGGACAGTGTGTGCAGATATATAATTGTTTGCCAGAATACAATGCAATGTTCAAAGTTGGGTCAAAAGTCTTCTAATGCCCGACTGTAATTCATTGTAATAAACCAGTTCTGTATTTCAATGACCTGAGGTCATTTGGGATAACATTGCTGACACGATGTTAGGCGATGTTACGCGCACGACCACTCTGGTGGTAATTTACACACAAGCGTTGCGCACCCGCATTCATGCACCTTTGATCGTTCTACTATCCCGAATGACCGGTGACCCATATCGTTGTGCACATAAGCAGTTGAAATACCGAACTGGCTTATCCATGGCATTCCTTGAGTTGTTTGCTTGTTTGGAAAAGGATGAGACATTTAGGACAACTTGAAGAACTGTTGACACTTAAAATACCCAATACAAGGGAACTTGACTAGGTTTACTCTTAATAATGTTCAAATGGGGGCAGTTCCGCAGTGTCAGACGTACATTTTGGGCAATTCAACAGTGTATGTAATTGTAGTTATAATCACGAGGTAGATTTTAATTCTGATAAAACATATCAGTTAGTCACTAGTTACTTTGATGAGTCAAAGAAGAAATTATTCATCCAACTTTGTTGCTGTAGTAGAAATTGGCTCAAAACACCGGACGTACTCAGACAAATCAATTTTTTGTATTGTCATCAATTGATTTTCCATTTACAAGTAACAGCCAAACTGTTGAACTTGTTAGGGAATGTACAACATTTGCTTTTGCTGCAATGTTCAAAATAAGTGCATCTGGGGGATTAGTGTGCTATAAAAAAATATTGTTAAAGGGCATGTACAACATTTGCTTTTGCTGCAATAATCAGAAATAAATGGATTGGAGGATTAGTATGTTTTAGCAAATATTGTTAAAATGACTTGTTTCACGTTTTGGGCTTGTAGATGTTGGAAAAACCAAGAAAACCATTCATGTTCTTGTAGTCTGGTTCACAGACCCCATTTAAGATGAAACGGAGAATTTATAGACTTTGGGGGATTGTAAGATCAGAGAGGCAGTCTAGTAGGCTTGTACCCCTTCAAAGGTGTGTAATCAATTGCACAGAAAACACAGAATAACTAATTATGAAAAATTAGGAGTAGTTTTAAAAAAAAAACAGTTTTCTCCATTGCTGGTCGGCCGACCAGCGTTGGAAAAATACCATTTTTTTTTTTAAATGTCAGCACACCAGGAGCCACGATTTTACAGGATGCTTTAGGCTGTCATTCCCTAAAGTTGAAAAAAATCACTCCGGTCGAACCCATGACCTCCTGCTTTCTAGTGCAGATGTCTTACCACTTGACCACCGAGCTAACGGGATCAGTTGGCTGGTTCGAATCTGATGTACATAGCAGCGGGTACTACATTAACTATTCATAAGATGGTAAGACATCTGCAATAGAAAGCAGGAGGTCGTGGGTTCGAGTCCCACCGGAGTGATTTTTTTCCAACTTTCACTCGGGAGGAAACACACTGAGAATACAGTGTTTATACATCGGTGATGGACAAAACCTAATTTGGTTTTATTAGTCAATTGACTCATGTAATTTCAGCAAGCACACACTGCATATGCCTCCATGTTATTTTGGCAAGATGTGTTGCCAATATACCAGTGTGGAAAGACTGTGGTTTCTAAAATAACTAAGATCAAAGTGCTTTACATTATTATTACCCCTGATCATTGGGCCAATGAAACATTGCAAATACAATCTCAGCTTCCTGTGGAATATGGATTTTTATTCACGAGGAAGTCATTTTAGTCATGTTCCCTGACAGTATTTTATAAACTATTGAATAGGATGGTGCCAGACTATTTTTGCATTCTAGCCTCACTTTCAATTTTTATTTTAAATGTGGCTTAAAAACATTAGGGTATGTTTAACAACAAATTTAAATTTTCATTAAAGCAGACTGGTATTAATTTGTAATTAATTTTATGTCACTGCTTTAATTTCTCTTTGCAAGTTCCAAATATGAAGATTTTACCTCGCTTTCAATTTAATATAGTCGACTCCTGAATAAAGCCCATACAGCTCGGTGTAGTCATTTCGACGCAAGGTAGCTAAAATCAATCACAATTGCGATCTCTGTTCTCACAGGTACCCATTTACTCCTGGGTGGGGCGAAGCAATGAGTGACAAAGTGTCTTGCCAAAGGGAACATGCACCATAACCCCAGGCTGGACTCGAACCCACAACCTGTAGAATTACCCGCAGACAACGAGTTCAATGCTCCAGACCATGAGGCCAGGGCACTCCACATATTTAGAAATGTTTTGCCAATTCATGCAACAACACAAACACCAGGTAATATAATCTATTTGAAACCCCTGCCCGTTGTCCAAACTGCACACATGTGCATTTATCTTTATTGGTACCTTCAAGGATGTAACTGGGGTCCAAGTTGCTGGAGGGCCCTAAAGGGACCTCAGTTTCTAGTAGGAGGCAGTCTTTGAGCAGAGGGGTCCATGCCCCTCATCCTCCTCCCCTATCATTAGCTATGCCACTGGGCACCTTTGTCAAGTTCATTTAAGATTATAAGGAATCAATGAAGGGAGTTCCTACTTTTCATTGAGGGAGTGAATCTTGGAGCGATCTCTCTCAATCACAGTCTGCATCTCTTCCATCCTGACCCTACGATCCTCCAGCAAGGCTTCCGTCTGCTCTCTAGATAGCTCAGCTTGTTCCTTCATCTGAGATTGTAGAGCTTCAATCTGTAGCAACAGACTCTCTGGCTCTGCCTGCTGCTGGTCTGAATCAGGATGGACAGCTTTGGGCTGGGCGCTGTTGGACTGAAATGAGGATTGGAAAATATTGATGGATGGTAACAGGATCAACCTGCTGGTACAGACTCGGACAAAAGAAACCACCCTTTTGGAGATGATCTGATCAATTATCGTGATTGAAGCAACTTTACTGGGATAACGTATGTAACTAAACTCACTTCTCAGGGGAGTAACTACAGGTAATTTCATCAGCTGATCAAGGAATTATCAACACACCTACCAAAAGCTGCAACAGATATATATATTTACTATTAATACTATGAAAGTAAGTAAAGTCTGTCATTAGCCAATACATCTCCGGTTTCAAAGGCATGAAACGACCGAGGATATTTTTTTATCCCCCCTGGATAGGATGCCAGTCCATTGCAGGTTACTTCCCAGCTAATATCGGTACCTATTTATACTCCTGGGTGGAGAGAGGCAAGTGGGGGTGAAGTGGCTTGCCCAAGGACACACATATAACCGGCAACTAGATTCGGACCCCTGACCCTCTGATCATGAGTCACAAACCTTAACCATATTAATGCTTAAAAAAAACTTAAAATCCCATAGACCTTATAAATAGTTAATGCGATGCCCGCTGCCATGTACCAATACATCAGATTCGAGGCAGCCAACCGATCCCATTAGCTCAGTGGTCAAGTGGTAAAACATCTGCACTAGAAAGCAGGAGGTTGTGGGTTCGAGTCCCAACCGAGTGATTTTTTCCAACTTTTACTCAGGAGGTAACACACTGAGTATTCAGTGTTTATACATCAATGAAGGGCAAAACCTGATTTGACATACATTGTATTAATACTATGATCCACTAGTTTATCTGACCAACAAATACTAAAAATGGGCCTGATATGGTTGGTATGAGATCTGAG